TTCAGGTATAAGAAAATGCCATTTTAGTAGCAAAATTTCCAGTGCTGTGTTCAGTGGATTTCCTCTTCCGGGCCAAGTCAGCTTCCCTACCTTTTGAAAATGTGTTACAGCAGAGAAGAAAGTGTTGTCCTTTAACTCTTGTAGAAGTTCACTCATCACCTTTTCATTCTCATCCCTGACGGTTTGAAAGACCTGAACAGGGATCGCTGGAGACCAGTGACGGCGAGAGAAGGATCTATATTGGGGGTTGCTGCCTGTGTTTAGGTACTAACTGATAAGTATTTACCTTCCTGGTGACTTTGGGTAGGGCAAGTGGAGAATAAGAGAATGGTAACATTCCAAGTAATGGGACAAATATTAGTCATACGTGACAACTGACAGAGTACTATCTGCCCGAATACAGTGTGAAACCTTCAGGTAGCTGAGGTGGTAAACCATACTAATCTATTCACTGCGACATTTTTTTTAACTGTAGTTCTCAGCCTATAAGCCATGCTAATGCACTAGTCTCAGGAACTAATTTCAGCTTAGGAAATGTTTTCCTCTGGCTTGTCATTTGTGCCCAGGGTCTTGTCTTAGGCCTGCCCCCTGATGTTTCACTGTAACACATACTTAGGGTATAGCCTTACCTAAATGAGTACTGTGGGTGTTGCTGCCTATTCTGGTCAGTGATTTATTTAAAAACAAAACAGTGAGAAATGACTAGGCGATTTCATTGAGACCTGTTAAACCCATGCATCTGGAAGGAAGCTGTGAGGCTTACTTGTCTCTGGCTTGGTTGGACACTGCCATTAAGCTTTGTATTACAGAACCATTGGCCGAGGCCAGTCGTTCTCCATCTTGGCTGCACATTAGAATTGCCTGGAACTCCCAACCCCGCTCCACCTCAGAAATTCACATTTCACCCGTCTGTTGTTCTACCAGGAGTTTCAACAGCTGCCAGTGGACGGAGGGGTATAAAGCAGGCACTTAGCATGCGTAAGGCCCTGGGTTCAGTCCCAGCAGCGATGATTGTAATAGGCAGCCAGAGTGGGGATCACTGCCTGGGTGATCTTTGGTAGTCTTTGGCAGCTAGTTCTCTTGACATATGACTCCTTTCCCAATTGAGGTTATAGTGGGCCAGCGCTCGGGTGGTAAAATGAATCATCCACTTCTCAGAGTAATTGTGGAGGGAGATATTGTGATCTATTTAAACTCCTGTCTAAACCAAACAGAATGTGCATAAGTAAGCAGAACACATTTTCAGAGTCTGGTCTCTAGAATCTCTTTCCTTTGCGATTAAGTGGAGAGTTCTCAACTTCGTGATTAAGTAGAGAGTTCTCAGCATTGCTAGCTGAAATAGAGCACTTGAATGTATTAAAAGAGCCAAGCCACCTAGGGTAAAACATAGAGGTGACGTTGTTAAGGTTAACAGAGAAAAGGAAGGATCCTGCCTGAAATGACTGTGATACCTTGATCATTGTCTCTTAGCCTGTCTTCTCAGAGAGGTTTCCAAGTGGTTCACTTTTTTTTGTCAATGAAATGTACTTGCTAAGGCTTCAATATTTCTGGACATTATGAAATGTGAAATGAGTCATTTAAGCATCTTTGTCCAGGGATCACAAAAGGCCTAACCCAGTAATCCCCAAATGAGGCTGCATATCTTCCTTCTTCTCACCCAGGGCAGAAAAGAAGGTATAATGGCCACTGTAATTTGTCTCCTGCCTATAGTATCTCTTATCCAATAAGAGGAAGTGGGGAGTTGTTCTATTGCCCATAAAAAAAGTGAGAACCACTGTTCAGACTAACTAGCTACAGGGTAACTTCTGCTTCATGAAAGAAACACATATTTAAGAGCAAGTTCAAGTGTAGCAGTCTCTTTTCTGAGAGTATTCTGAACCCCGTAGAAAATTTCATTTGTGTATGTCCTATAAGTAATTGATCATTTGAAATTTAAAGAGGTGGTATGTTCGAGAAGAAAAGGTAGATTGAGGAAAAGATTGGTTCTTAGTTCAGAGGACTCTATTACACTCAGACTATGAAGTTTTTTCCAAGTAGCATTAGGCCTTGCTGTTGCTTAATATGTAAATGCTGCAGTGTCAGAGGCAGTGCCTCCAATGCCTTAGAAAATCTGCTGAAGGCTTCCTGTCTGTGAGTTGAATAAAAAAGCAATAGCCTTTATGACTCCAAAAAGAGTAGCCCCTAGGGGTTTTCATGCTGAAGAATATTGTAGAGTACTGTGAACCCTGTTGAACTTTATGTAATTATACTGCACTGGATTTTTGAGATTTCATGGGGGAGGAGAGGAGGAGGAGAGGGAAGTAAGGCTAGATCAATGTATGAGCACGTGTTGTAGCTAAAGCAAGAAATAAAACAAATTCCTAAAAGGAATTCCCTATCAGGACTATGAAGTTAAAGTCACCTTCCTCTACCTTCACGGGTGGACTTGCTGATTCCTTTCTGAAACAACTAAATGTTAGCCTGATTGCAGTTCACTACCTTGCCCCATCCCCTGCCCTCGACAAAAGAAAAACATTCCCAAACTATAGGCAGAAGGAATGTCTCTGTCTCAGTCCATTAGCTTTTCGTCTGCTGTGATCTGTGTTCACATTTGTAGCTTGTTGCGTTATTCTGTGCTCGGACTGCAGAACTTAAACAGATTTGCTAGTTCAGTGAGGAACCAATGGCTTCCTTCTCCTTTAAGAAATCTTAAATCAGTAAAAGGAGAAGTACATTGGAAGAGCATTCAGGTTTCCTGGTTTCTCATAATTTCAGGGTGGGACCCATTCTTGCTCTGCCTCCAAGAGGTGAAGAGAAGGCTGAGGAGTCAAAGGTAGTGAAGTCAGTGTAGCAGAAAATTGGCTTCCTTCAGACGGACACCGTCTGAAAGAAAGCTGCCAACTGTTCTCTATGGTGCTTACGTGATGGGTGACAGCTGTCTCCCATCCACCTGTCCCTGGCACTGTGCCTTCCCCTGGTCACTGTGAAATGCAGATCACACTGGACTCAGAGGCCAGAATCCAGGACAAGTTCCCCCTTCTCATTTGAGCCCATCACTTCTCCCTACAGCTGAAAATGTAGCATTTACCTCTCTTTGAGAAACTTGGGGTCCCCCCCCAGCCGCAAGAAACAGTAAACTGTTTAAAAGAAAAGAGAAATAAGACCCTGGTGGTGGCTATCAAATAAAGAGATCACAGGGAGATTTCGCTCCCCCTCGGTTGATACTGATAAATAGCAAGACCCAACTGTGCCCCCCTCTGCCCGAGTTTCCAAAGGCCCCTGTAGTACCTGGAGACAAGTGTACCTAAGAACAGCTTCTCACGGCTTGCTGATCAAGGAGGACTCGTAGTAAAACAGACAATCAGTTTCTAAAATGTCATCCCTGAAAGGGAATGAGATAGCATATTTTTAACTATAGTTAAAGAGCCTACCAGTCTGTTTTTACCCTTTGGAGGGGAAAAAACCTAACTTTTGAAATTTGTGTGTTTTGTGTGCAGCAGTTAATGTGAAGATGCAAAGTCAGTGAGCCAGGATAGCACTCTGCTGTCACTGGTTTTACGATGCTGAACTAGCTTTATGCATCTTATCTCCTGAGGTGATGTTTTTATTATGACCTTAAGTATAAATACCTATATATATGGAATAGGACTTTCTCTCACCCCACCCTTCTTTAATCATTATCACTTACATGTAAACCACCACCTCTTCCCACCCCCTTTACTGAAAATAATGCACTTTAAATCCTAAGGAGAATGGCTAGCCGCTCCTGGTCCTGAAGCCAGAATGCTTCAGGAGGAGAGTTGAAGAGGGAGAACGCTAGGCAGACCTGTAACGTTAACCAAGCTTCCAAATGTGAACACACAAATTACATCCTTTTTTAAACAGCCCCCACCTTCTCCCTGTCAAAGGGAAAAAGAAGCAGCCAAATTGAAAAGACTTCAAATGGCCTACCTTGATTTTGGAAGTTTCACTGGTTTAAATTTTTTTTTTTAATTTTAAAATTACCTTTTTTTTTTGTTTTGAGACAGGGTCTTGCTATGTATTTCATTCTGGCCTTGAACTCACTGTGTAGCACAGGCTGGCCTTAAACTCTCTGCGATCCTCCTGCCTCAGCCTCTCAAGTGCTGGGATTACAGGAGTGCGCCACCACACTGGGCTAAAATTAGCTGATGGCCAAGGATGTAGCTCAGTGGCACAGTGCCTACCTGGCAAGCGCGAGACCCTGAGTTTGGTTCCCGGTACCCAAAAATAAAATTAGCTGATAATTTATTTTCTCAGCTACTGAATTGCCATAAATTTCTGTGTTCAGTGGGAGGCTGAGATGTGTTTGACTGAAAGTGCAAACACAGGCGATCCAGAATTGCATCGTCACTAAGTATCAGGCCTGGTGTCCCTTGTTTTGAAGCTCAGACTCTCCTCCTGCAGGTTCTGTCCTCCCCTGACCACAAGCCAGTAGTCCTTGGAGGGGTAGCATGTCCCCTGGAGCCCCAGGAGCCCTGTTGGGTCGGGGTGGGGGAGGGTGGGCCAAGACTAGGGTTGGGGGAGGGAGATGCAAAGAAAGTTAAGATATGGGTTTATATAAACATATTTAAAGCAGTTTAGCAAAAGCTTTCTCATTGAACAGCTTTAAGAACAATGTGAATGAGATCTTAGCAACTTGGGTAGTAATCTGAAAAGTCTATTAATGTATACTTGAAATTCTGTTTGTATAAAAAATGCATTTTCCTCTTTATTTTAACACTGTGTAAAAGAACATTATGCATGCGAGTGGTTTGAGAATTAAATGGTTTAATACTCAAATTTGAATCTGTCTTATCTGTGCTTGGAGAGATTACTCACTTACATGTTTTGGCGGGTTTTTTTACCATGGGAACCCTGAGAAGTCAAGCTTCCCCATGTGGGAAGTCTGCCACTTTGAGAGGAAATAGTGACATAACTCCCCTTTATTTTCTTGACGCAGGTATGTACCCTGGGTGGAGAACAGTTGAAAGCATCATTTTAATAAATGCCCCAGTAGCCTCTGTGTTTCCATCCCTGGTCTTTATTTCACATGGTTGCGTCCACTCATAATTGCGAGATGGAAGCAGTTGTATCTGTCTTTATTTCCGTTCACAAACCAGAATAGGAATGGGTGCAAAGAGTGAGACTATTTCAGTTAACACAAGGGTTGGCTACTCTCCCCATGAAGATAATAGTGTTGAGAGCAACTTCCCTTATAAGGACCAGGAAGGGCCTGTTGGCCTTGAAGGTCACCTTGCTGGGGTTCAGCGAACGGCCAGCCATCACGATGCCGGTGGCCCCTGCTGCTTCGCTGCCTTCCTCGTTCACCTGCAGGTCAAGAGGAGACAAGACGCCGGCCACGTGAGCTGCTCCGTGAGTCACCACCGGCAGGTGAGCCGTCCGCAGACACAGCTGCTGCTCATGCCATGTGTTTCAGGAAGCAGATGCGCTGGGCTCAAATCGCGCCTCCTGGAGAACCATTCCCCCCCTGCCCTCCCGCATGAGTGGAGTACGCTTGTGGTGCCCCGAGTTCGGGACGCGCCCTTCATGTAACCAGAGCCAGAAATCTGAATGTACCTAAGGCCCCATCTCCGGCTGGTGTCCCGGAACAACGTGGTGTCACACAGTATGTACCAGCTGCTAAAAGAGATTCTGACTCAAGATCAGTGCTCTGTAGTTGAAGCGGGGCATCAGGATTCCAGATAGAACTACCTCCAGCTCAGGAAGAGAAGGGCCTCTGGCGGGCTGGATGAGTTTTCATCAGAGTAACAGACAGTGGAATTTAGACTTGGCTGATACGCAGAACTGCCGCACATCTTTGGAAAATATTCCCCAGCAACTCAGAAAATCACTGACTGTTCCTGAATTTTATTTTATTTTATTTTTGGTTTTCTGAGATAAGATCTGGATAGGTAGCCCAGGCTGGCCTCACACTCAGCGATCCCTCGTAGGTCCACCTCCCAGAGCACCGGGTGCGCCTGCTTCCGAAGGAAGCACTTTAGACCCCTGAGTTAAGCTGGTTTTTGTTGGTTCGGTTTGTTGCTCGGCTTGGTTTATTTTTTTGAGACAGATCTGGCTGTGTGTCCAGGCTAGCCTCAAACTCTATTTATTTACTTATGTTTGTTTGCTTGCTTGTTTGGGGGTTTTTGTTTTGTTTTTGTTTCTGGTTTGTTTGTTTTATTTTGTCTTTTTGAGAGAGGGTCTCGCTATGCAGTTCAGGCTGGCCTTGAGCTCACTTTGTAGCCCATGCTGGTCTCAAACTCACAACTATCCTCCTGCCTCAGCCTCCCGAGTGCTGGGATTACAGGTGTGCGCCACCACTGGGCAACTTGCTTGATTTTTGCCACACGGTCTCCTTACATAGTTTAGGTCACCCTTGAACTTGCCGTGATCCTTCTGCCTCAGCCACCTGAGTGCTGGGATGACAGGTGTGCACACCACGCCCACTCGCAGACTCTGTAATCCAGGCTGTGCTCTAACGTCCTCTTGCCCTAGCTTTCCCGATGCTGGGGTGGCAGGCGCGCGCCCCTGCACCCGGCTTCGTGGAGCTGGTTAAGGATGCTTGTCCCCCTCCCCGGCTCTTCGGCCCCCTTCTCCTTCGCCCTCTACTCCCTGGTGCCATTCCATTCTCCCGCCAGAACTGCATTTACGAGCAGCTCAGAGCTCCGTAAGATCGGGATCCTTCTGTCTCCCGACTTCCCCTCTTCCCCTCATCGGTCCACTGTCCTCAGAGCCAAGGGGGTCCCTGAGCCCCGGCCCTGAGCCCCAGGTTCCTGCTGGGACCTGCCCTCTGCGCACGGCGCCGGCGCAGGTTCTCCGCCCTCCGTCCCTCTCGGCCCGTCTCCCACTGAGAACATCGACACCAACTGGAGGTCAGAGTCCCCTGAGGAGCTGGCACAGAAACCGATCCGCGGCCGCAGGCCGGGTCTCAGAGGGAGACGCCCCCGAGACGCGGAGCGGAGTGTCCCCGCGCGGTCAGGGGGCACAGGAAGCCACAGCGCCTGTCTCCTTGCGGCGACCGACCTGACCGCCGGGCGCACAGCTAACCTCTCGGGGAGAAGCCAGAGCTTTCCTGCCCTGCGGCCCTGCCCTGCACTGCAGCCCAGCGCCCTGGGCCCCACATCCACCGCAGGGTCCGATCCGCTCGGCGGTGCCTCTCGCACCCGCCGTCACTCGGTCCGCATGCGCCCCCCACTCCAGCTTCCTGGGGAAAAGTGAGGGTCTCCCCTACCGTCTGTTCTTAGGGAACGCTTTTCACTTTCTTAACACTCTTCTGGTCCTGCATTCCTTCTTTTGTCTTTTTGAGACAGGATCTCGCTATGCAGTTCAGGCTGGCCTAGAACTCACTTTGTAGCCCAGGCTGGACTCGAACTCACAGTGATCCTCCTGCCTCAGCCTCCCGAGTACTGCTGCATTCCTTCTTGGTGGCTATTGCTGGTGCCCTTCCCGTGTCACCCACCCCTGCTCTGTCCCTGCGCCCGCCCTCTGGGGAGGCCCCAGCCCCAGGCCTTCGGGTAGTGTTAGCTCCGGGAGAGGGAATCCACGGGTCCGTCCCGCCTGTGCCCTCAGGGCCAGGGCAGCGCTCTCGGAAATTACAGATCCTGCAACAGCCGGCACCTCTGAAGCCAGCCCGGGAGGAGCGCGCGAGGGGACTCACCTCCAGAAACGCCTTGTGGAACGCATCGGAGACGTAGAGGTCAGCCTGGTCCTCAGTGGTGATACCTAGGGGAGCAGCGGGGACGCTGAGAACCCGCAGGAGTTCCGGCTTCACCCTCCCGGGGGAAATCAGTTTGAATTAGGAGGTCCTTTGGGGCTTTTTTGAAAAGTAGAAAGAAATCTTGGAACTTCGCCTAATGATATTCCCACAATAAATATGTGTTAAAAGTAATAAAGAACTCTGGGTTTGTTCAGCGCGGCTCTTGTGGACTTAATCTCATGCTTTAGCTCTTTGGGGGTAGCGGTAGGGGTACAGGTGGGACCCCATTCTTAAAGGAAAACCTCACATCCTTGCAGATATCTTTCTTTCCTGTCTGGGAAGAATACTTATTTTTTCCCCAGTACTGGAGTTTGAAGCTTCGGCCCTCACACTTAGGGGTTGGCGAGCGCCCTCCCCTGAGCTACATCCCCTGCCCTTTTTATTTTGAGACAGGGCCTAACTTCCCCAGGCTGGCCTACAATCTAGGTTCCTCCTGCATCAGCCTCCCAGGTAGCTAGGATTATGGGTGTGTACCACCATCCCCAGCCAATCTAGCAACATTTTAAGGATGGGCTGGCTTTTAGAACTAGTTTGTTTATTTATTTATTTACTTATTTATTGGTCTTTTTTTGGAGACAGGGTCTTGCTATGCAGTTCAGGCTGGCCTTGAGCTCACTTTGTAGCCCAGGCTGGTCTCAAACTCATCACAATGATTCTCCTCCTCAGCCTCCCGAGTGCTGGGATTACAGGCATGCGCCACCACACTGGGCATCAGAACTAGTTTAAAGACAGCCCAGTAAAGATAAACCCACTTACCTGGTATTATAAACTTATTCTTTTATGTATTTTTTTGCCACAGTTACATAGTTTTCATTTGCAAACTGAAAAGTTAACATACTTGCTTTTGCTGCACGTAAGTGAATAAAATTGTATGAGAATATAATAATTTTAGAACCTTAGTAAAGTAGAAAATATAACACTCAAAAAGAAATAAAGCAGTAAAGATCTGCATCAGCAGTTATAAATGTAATATCAGCAATAGCGAAAAACATGACACAAGGTCCATGCAGTTGACAGGTGCATCCTTGCAAGCATTTAAGGAACAGAGAGGCCCTATATTTTATAGCATGGTCTAAGTAAATATGTATTAAATAAATGATTATATGTTATTTTTAACTTTTTCAATCTTTTTTTTTGAGAAAGGGTCTCACTGCGCAGTTCAGGCTGGCTTTGAGCTCACTTTGTGGCTGAGGCTGGCCTCGAACTCAAAACAACCCACCTGCCTCAGCTCCAAATGCTGGGATTAGAGTGCGGGGATTATAGGCGTTTGCCACCACACCCAGTTTAGATTCGTATTTTTTAAAGGATGGAGGGTTGAGCAATCATACCAGGTTAACAACATTCACTGGGGAAGCGCTGGCTGTGACGCTAAAGAAAACAAGCAGCACTGTGGCACGACAGGGGAAGGGCTGTTAAATGTCAGCCAGGCCCGTTGTGGGGCCCAGATGTCCCCGGTGCTTAATGTCTATCTCTGCTCTGAATTCCCGTCTGCTTTTGTGTCCTTCTCCACCCAGTTTCCTCTCATCTACAAGACAGACTGACAAGGTGCGAGTGCTGGCTGGGCCCACGGAGCTGGAAGAGCAAACTAACCCCTCTGTAGCACGAAGGCTGAGCCCCCGCTGAGGGCAAAGGGTTTCCACGAGGTCGCAGTCGCCCCGGGAGCAGAACCCAGGTACCTTGACTCATTGCTCCTTTCTACTCTTCAACTCTTTCGCCTGTATTCAAACCGCGGAGAGCGGAAGAAAGCCCTTCCCGTACCAACCTGGGAGATGGGCCTTCTTAGGATCGAACAAGTCAACCAGACCCATGTCTTGCAGACGCTCCTTCAAACTGAAGCCATCCTCGACGCGGAAGCGGGGCATGTGGACCTCCAGCATCGTCTCCGCCAGCAAGTCCAGCCACTCCTGCAGCACCTCCGGGGTGAGCTCCCGCTCCACCTTGGCCAGGCTCTTCTCGGGCCTGGGCAGGATGAGCACCATGGTGATGTCATCACCCTTGAAGGGCAACTCCAGCAGCTGGGTACCTTCTGCCACGCGCCGGTACCGGAACTTGCCTTCCTGGTACATCATAGACACTGAGCACGTCTCCTCGCTGGCCTTGTGGAACGGCTCCTCCCTTGTGCTCTCAGGGTTGAACCTCGACTTCCACAGGCCCTGGAAAGCGCAGAGTGGAAGAATCACACGCAAGAAAAATAATCCAGAGGGCTGGGAAGATAGCTCAGTGGCACAGCACCTGTCTGGCAAGTGCCAGGTCCTGAGTTCAATTCCCGGCACAAAAAAACGAAAACAAAAACAAAAAAACAATCCATAGGAAAGTACTTTTCGACATGGGACATTCATGCACGTTACCTTCTACAGGAATCTATATAGTTCTCAGGAAAAAAAGACTAGAGGCTGAGGCATGAAAAGGTTAGGCATCACTGTGCCGATGCAGGAGAATTAGAAGTGGGTTTTGTAGTGTGGACTTTTCTGTATTTCTCAGATGGCTAGCAGTGACTATTGTCTTTGTAATGAAAAAATAAATTCTACAGCCAAGGAGAGCCTACATACTTCCTTACAAGTTCATCCTGCTTTACCTCTAGTTGTTCTTTGCCAGTCTATTTCCTAAGGGCTACCCTCCAAAGTTCTGGCTCTGCCCGACAGGCAGAAGCCAGATGGTAACAACCAGGGGTCCCTCCAGGCAGCCCTGCCAGACAGCCTCACTTTCTTTCCTGAGCACTTCTGGCTCTTTGGACTGGAGACAAGTCACTGAACGTTCGGAATGGTTTCTCATCTGTAGGACCAGGAGCTGCTGACAGCTAATATTTGTAAAATGCTTGTACAGTAAGGGTGGACAGGCAGTGTTCCAAGCATTTTATATACATTAACTTACCCAGTCCCCTCTGGAATCCTATGAGGTAGATATACCATTATCACCATTTTATAGATGCAAAAATTGGGGCATAGAAAAGTCCCAGGTAAGTCACCCAAATTCAAATACTCAACAAAAAGTCAGAATTTAAATGAACATGAGTAGCTCAAGTTCTCATTTGTGATGTTGTGCGAATCAAGAGGACAATAAATGGTAGATCACTGGGCATGCTGGCGCATGCCTGTAATCCCAGCACTCGGGAGGCTGAGGCAGGAGGATGGCCATGAGTTTGAGGCCAACCCGGGCTACATAGTGAGTTCAGAGCCAGCCTGAACTGCATAGTGAGATCCTGTCTCAAACAAAACAAAACAACAACAAAACCCCAAAAGATAATAAATGCTACATCACTGCAAACTGTAAAAAGTAATACATGCTGTGGAAATGCAATCTCCTCTGTTCCAGGGGAATGGGAACCCCGAGACCAGGCTGCATGGAAGGGAGACGTGTCAGTGATCTGTGTCAGCGATCTATGTGTTCCCATCTCCTTCCCTAAAGCAGTGAAGCTGGAATAGTCCTCAGCACTCTGGCCTGTCTGAGGGAGACAAGGCCATCTGCTGCACACGGTCCAAGGGCTGAGCCTTTCTTTGCTGAGTCTAAGGGGAGCCTGCAGCTGGATGTTCAGACACTCCCACAAGGGCGACTTGAGGCCACAGTAGAAGCTGCTGTAGACACTAGGAAGGTTCCCATCGCTGAGGGTTGTTAGCATTTTGTTCCAAATGTCAAAGGGAGTTAACTGGATGGCAAAAATATAGACCACACTGTCACATATATGTATGGACCGTGTCTCAGAGGCGAGCTACCTCCTCATGACCAAAGGGGTGCAAGCACAGGTGCTGAAGCGTAAGAGGAAGTCGCTGGGGTCTCCCCAGGCCCAGGTGCAGTACCTTGAAGTAAATGGTGTTAACCAGCACCAGGACGGTCAGTTCGTTGATGGTTCCCTTGGGAATGACGTCAGTGATCCTGCCTTCCGTCTTGTTGGCTACCCATTTGTTGATGGTCTCTCTGGACTGCTCTGCATGTGCCTAAGGGGAACAGAAAGCAAACCTGCCCATGTGTGCTAATCCACTGACTTCTCTTCACCTGCCTGCATTTGATTTCCTTCATCATCCCCTGGCCCTTTCCACAGTTTGGTTAAAAAGCCATCACTTTAACCCAAACTGAGGAAACCTCATAGGTCTAACATGGTACTATTGATTTTTATATATTTAATAAATATAAGAAGGCAAAGAAATAAGAGATCAAGGAAGAGGAAGGAAAAGGGGAGAAAAGTCTTTTAAAAAGAAGCTAAAAGCTGTGGTGTGGTGTGGTGTGGTGACATATGCCTGTAATCCTAGCATTCTGGGAGGCTGAAGCAGGAGGATCTTAAATTCTAGCTCAGCCTAGGCAAACTGGCAATTTAGAGAGACCCTGTCTCAAAACAGAAAAGAGCTGGAGATGTAGCTCAGTGCAAAATCCCTGGGTTCAGTCCCCAGTACTAAAAAAAAGAAAGAAAAGAAATGTGATCTTTTCTAACTTCAGAACATCTGAACCCACAAAAGAAGCGTTTCCAAAAACCTGCTCTACTGGAAGCAACGAGCGATGGCCCCCTGGCCTGTTTTTGGAAACGCTTTGGACAGAAGAGGAGGGAAGGGCCTATGTGTTCAAATAAATTTGAGAAACTCTGGCTGAACAGAGGCAGTATACCTCTCTGTTGTAGAACTTCTCGGGCCCCTTAATAGACTCATGCACTTCATGAATCCCCAATAGCATGTATCGGATACCAATTTTATTTGACCTCAGCAACTGTTCACACTGAGTAAATTCTCTGGTAGGACTGGCATGTCCGGTATACCTTTGTTATATATCTGAACTAGGTGGGTGGAATAAAGGACTGATTATTACACAGCTTTGTGAGAGCAGCCTCTGCAATCAAAGCTGTCTATTCCATTGACTTCTGAGGTTTCCAGAAAGGTCAGCATTCAGGGCTCTGGTTCGCGGCCAGCCCCGCCCTGGTTTTCAGCTGGCAGAGCAGTGTTGACTGGGATCCTCTCCCTCTCCCTCCTCACTCCCCACATGCACAGGAAGAGCTCCGGGGTGAGAGGTGACGCCTGCAACCCACCTTAAAGTCCAGGGGCTGGAGCTTGGCGCCATAGACCACCTCGCTGATGTCCTGGTAGGTCTCATTGAAGGTCAGGGATTTGTCTCCGAAAAGGCGGTTGGCCGATACTAACTTGGAGGACTTGTTGGCTTTTCGATAGAGTCGACAGTTGAGTTTGGCAAAGAAGAAGTGGACCTGATCAGATGTTTTCTCGGAGATGGTATCAAACTTAAAAACCTGTGGAAGCCAAAAGAAAATGGTGGTGGGTTTGGTGGGCTGGCACGGGGGTGAGCGAAGCACCTGAGTGCCAGCTCCTTCAAGCGGTGCCCGACTCTGACTTGAGGATGAGTGCGCGGGCAAAAGAGAAGAAAGGGCAGGAAGCACGAAAGCAAAAGGAAAGACAGTGGGATGAGGCTACCACCCAGTCCCGAAGGACTCCAGGCCAACATGCAGATATCTTCTTAACAGACCAGGAAAAGTCCTCTTGGTCCTGGGGACAGGGAGAGGACTGCGATCACCTCTTTCCTTGGAACAACACTCTCCTGGCATCTATAGGGGCAGCTGCTCTTGGAGCTCTGGGATACTGGCTGTGGTAGGGCTGAGAAAGGAAAAGAGCGATTCCCTTACCAAGGAAATAAACAGGCCTCGAACCAGTGTTTTAGGGCTCAAAGGGACTGGAGTCATTTGTGCGGGAGCCGTCACTCCCACCCTCCAGGCATAACAGTGAAGTTGACCTTCTCCCTCCTTTCCAAGCTCTGTACCAAGGTGCCAAAGGCACTTTGGTTTTTTCTAGGCTCTGGTTTTGATTTTCCTTTGTTTCAATATGCAATTTTTTTTTTTTTTTATCTTTTGAAACAGGGTCTTGCTATGCAGTTCAGGCTGGCCTTGAGCTCACTTTGTAGCCCAGGCTGGCTTTGAACTTACAACAATCCTCCTGCCTCTGCCTTCCAAGTGCTGGGATTATAGGAGTGCATCACCAGCCCGGATTGCAATTTTTAAAAAACCGTGACAGGAGCTGGGGATTTAACTCAGCAGCAAAGCACCTGCCTGGCAAGCGCAAGATTGTGAGTTTGACTCCTGGTACCAGAAGAAAAAACAAAAAAATAAAAAACCATGATAGCCAGATATAGTGGCACATGCCTGTAATTCCAACACTTGGGAGGCTGAGGTAAGAGGGCTGCCATGAGTTTGAGGCCAGCCTGAGCTATATAGCGATTCCCTGTCTCAAAAAACGAACAAAAACCCCACGCTTTGACTAAAAGCTGGATGCCGAGTTTCTTCTCTAGAGTCCCACCCCATTTCCTCATCTATGACGGGGCACGGTGCTGTGGAAATGTTCTCTTTCTGTTTTTGTTGTTGTTCTGCTGGGGATCAATCACTAGGCACACTCCACCACTGAGATTCGCTCCAGCTGTTTCTGTTCTCTTTGCGGAAAGGGTCTGTGTCCTGGTCTACGGAAGCGCTCTGAGGCCAATGCCGGTGTCCACAAGGTAATGGACAGGCCTAGGGAAGACAGTAGTACGTGTCCTGCCCGACTCCTAAGATATATGCAACTGCTCATCAACAAGGAGTACTAAGAGTACAAAATAGGGAAAGGATGCCGCGTTCAACAAATGGTGGTGGAGAAACACACAAAAGAACTAAATTAGCAGGACAGGCAGCCCACAGAGAATTTCTCAAACTTGCCGGGGATGTAGCTCAGCGGCACAAGCACCTGCCCGGCAAGCACAAGGTCCTGAGTTCGATTCCTGGTACCAAAAAATAAAGAAAGGAAAAATTTGTAAAACTGCATGCTCTCTTTCAGAGGGAAGGGGCAGGTCAGCTCATTACAGGGACTGAACAGATTAATAAAGTTCAGTGGAATTTGGCCATCAGAGTAGAGCGAAACTCTTCGTGGACTTCAGTGTCCAGATTCAGAGGTGCTCACTGGGTCGTGTGCCTCCCTGTTGTTTATCTTTGCTTCCACAGAGAGACCCAACCTGAAGGAAGCCAGCCAGGAACCCAAGCCAAGTGCAGACTAAGGATCGAGCGTGTCTGCTTGCGACTTATTATAGCGGTATCAGTGTTGAATTAATGAATGTCATTTCTTTTTATCCTGCCTTCCTTCCCACCAAAACAAGGAAAAAACCCAATCACTGATCTGAAGCGATCAAAACCTCCCAGAGCCAGAAAACTGTTTCACAGTTGAGGATTCTTTGGGCTTCCCTGGACCTGTCTCCAAATACAGTCCTGGCATCTTGAGCTCCAAGAGCCTTGGGCCGCAGCCCTCTGTGGTGTGAGCTCCCCCTCCCCACCAGGGCAGGCAGCAGGCCTCCCCCGCCCAGCACGCTGCCCATGGGGAAACATACACAAGTGATGGAATGAATGAATAAATGTGTAAGTGAGGAATGACTAGAAAAGTTGTAAGACAGTAAGGCCTTCCCCCATTTAAAAACCTAGAAGAAGAAACTTAGATGTGAAAGAGAGACGCCCAGGTAGTAATTCCTTCCCTATTTTTTTCTTTTTCTTTTTCTTTTTGTTTTTTTTTTTGGTACCGGGAATCGAACTCAGGACCTTGAGCTTGCCAGGCAAGTGCTTGTGCTATATCCCTATTAAAAAAAAAAAAAAAAAAAAAAGCTTTCCAAAAGGAATCACAAGAGAGGAAGCAGCGATTCAGAGGAGCCACAGCCCACAGCGCGCCCCGGGAGTGCCAGCGCTGGGTCGGAGTCACAAACTCCACCTCGGCGGAGCCCGGAAGGCGTCCCCGCGAGGGGCGGGCGAGCGCCGGCCGATACCTCCATCAGCTGCTTGAGGGTGTCATTGCAGGCCCCCAGCTTGGTCATGGCGAAGGCCGTGGAGATACTCAGGGGCGACAGGAAGATGTTGTCGGTGTCGTTCTTGCAGTCGGCCAGGTGCTGGTAGAAGGTGGTGGCAAAGCGGGAATTGGCCTTGGACAGTTCCCACACCCGGCGGTTGGTGGCCTCGGGGATCTTCTGCTCGCCGCCCTCCTCCTCGGTGGCGTTCTTGTCCGGGAAGCGGTAAATGCACATGGGACTCACGGGCACGTCCCTCGGCTTCGCCACGCAGATGTCCTCCACGGGGCTGCCCTGGCCGGCCGCGCCGCCGCAGAGGCCGGCGAGCAGCACACCCAGGAGGCAGAGCTGCCTGGAGGGACACACGGGGCTTAGGCGGCGGGGTGCGGGGCGCGGCCCGGAGACCAGGCGGGCCCTGAGCCGGCCGCAGCCGCGCGGTGAGGCGGGCGCCCCCGAGGGCCGGCCCTCAACCTGCACCCTAGGCCCGGGAAGGGCTTTTGAACAAGGAGCGACGCGCACAGCCCGGTGCGCTCGAGACCCCGGACCCTGGCTCCGGCCGCGCCTTCCCCGGAGCTCGGACCGACCCGACGGCCCCGCGTCCGCTCCCCGGGCCTCCCCGCCTCCCGGCCCGCCGCCCGCGGCCCCCACGGCCTCAGTTCGGCCTCGTCCGCTGTTGTTGCCCGGAACGTGCACGTAGCAGCTTCCAACAGGGGCGCGAAGTGGACACGACGTGGGAAACGAGCGCGCGGGCGGGAGCTGCAGGCGCCCGGCTCAGCGGCCCCGGCCCGGCCCCGGCCTGCGCGCTGCGCGCCGCCGAGCTCCGCCAGCACAATGCCGGGGACCCCCATCCCGCCTCGCGCCCCCTCGGCACGCCGGGTGCAGAAGGAACGGGGTGGCGTCCCCGAGAAAAGCGCACAGGGCTCCGGCGTCTAACGGGAGCCCGCGGGGATCCCGGGCAGGGGCTCCCCATGGACGCGGGAACAAAACGGGGGCAGGAGGGCCTTGCGGGTGAGTGTGCGCCCTCCCTTCGGCGGCAGGCTCCGCGGCGTCCTCCAGATGGCCGGACCGGCCTGCAGCGCGGGCGGCCGCGGCCGAGGGAGGGCCTCCCCCGGGGAGGCAGCGAGCGCACAGCGGCCTGCTCGAGGCCTCGGGGGCCATCCCGTGAGCTCTTCAGAGCTCAGAGAAGCCAGCGAGGGCGCGGCCCGGGAGGGCTCAGCCTCTTACCTTCTCCCCGAAGCCCTGGGAAGCATGGTGGCGGTGTGCCCGGGGCTGGCCGCTGGAGGTAGGGGCAGAGGCAGGCCCTGCACACTGGCTCTGCGCTGCGAACCGGACTGAGGTCCCGGCGCAGCGGGGTTGGGAGCTGGTCAGGAGGGGAGGGCTGAGGTCAAAGGCTGATGACCACTCCCCAGGGTTAAGCAAAGTGCAGAGCCCCGTGTTGCTCAATGAGCAGAGAAGTTAAAGTTCAGTCAGGCCTGGGGAAAGCAGGACCCACCTCTCCGCGGCACCGTCCCTCAGGCCCCTCTTCACTTGAGCCCAAAGGAGAAGAACATGTTATGAGCTCAGATTTGCCTAGGAAACCACTTGACTCAGGAGGACGTGGTAGGTTAACCCCATCAGGAGGTAGAAATACTGTGGGTGAATACAGAACAAGTTGAATGTATAGGAACTTCTGGCTGGGTTTAGTGGCACACACCTGTAATCCCATCACTCGGGAAACAGGCGGGAGGGTCGCCATAGTTGGAGGGCAGCCTGGGCTACATAGTGAGACCCTGTCTCAAAAGAAAGGAGATGGAAGAAAGAAAGAAAAGAAAAGAAAAAAAAGAAAGAAAGAAAGAAAGAAGGAAAGAAAAAGATAGAAAGGTAGAAAGAATGAAAAAGAAAGAAAGAGAATCTAGCTTTCTACGTCTTCAGTGCAATCCGTTCCCCATCTCTCCCTCACAGTTTCCTGTGTGCAGACACAGGGAGACTACTATCTACTCAGGAGGGAAGGCGGAACAAGCTGCTACCTTCAGGCTTCTGAGAGCGGAGGTGTCCCAAGCCTACACCCAGGCACACCACAACCGTCACAACCGTGGCCCACAGGGCCAGGGACGTAGCTCAGTGGGGTAGTGCCTGCCTGGCAAGCGCAAGGTTGTGAGTGTGATTCCCAGTACCAAAACACAAAAAACAACAGCAACCACAACGAAGAAAAGCACTGTGGCCCACTTCCTTTATCCAGGAAGTGCTGGGCAGTGACCCAAGAGTGGGGTGCATGCCAAGAGTTTCTTTACGGGCAAGGAGCTGGTTGGGAAATACTCAGCCAAATTCTATTGGGGATTAGGAGACAGAGGAGGGGGCAGGTGAAAAACATACATGCAACTGCTTCTTTTGGGAGGGAGTGCTAGAAATCGAACCCAGAGCCTTGTAAATGTCAGATCAGTGCTTACTACTGAGCTCTATCCCAAACACTTTTTATTTTTATTCTTGAGACAAGGTCTTGTTAACTTGTCCAGCGTGGTGTCTAACTTGTGATCCTCCTGCCTCCTGAGCAGCAGGGATTACAGACCTGCACCACCATATTTGGGTGAATGAAGTTCCTCTTAAAGAGCAAATAAACCAAGCTATGCTTGTGTGTACTGTTACTTTTACTAGTTCCTGGGCCATTAAGTAAATTCAGACTAATAGTATGAAGGGCAGGTTTATTTATCTTCCCCTCTTCTAACTAGCCAGAAACAGCATCACAAGGACTGCTGCAACAGCGCTCAGAGAACAGATACGGCGCCTTCTGTATGACCGAGGGTTTGGAAGTTTCTGTTGCAGTGATAAGAATTTTAGAGGGTTCTTTACTCACTAGGAGGAAATCATCCGGACTGACCCACATCCACGTTCTTGGAGGTTCATCGAGATAGCGCATGTGCAGTGTGAAGAGGTTCCAGGAATTGTCCAAAGGACCCCAGGATGCTCAGAGGCTCACGGGTGTCCTCAGTGAAAGAATGAACCAAGCCAGGCGTGGCGGGACACACCAGTCTAGCCGCTGGTACACTCTGAACACAGCTCTTCTTGGATTTCACTGTGTAGATTTTAATGACCTCAAATTCATTTCTTCTTGGTTCATCTTCTACTGGTTGGCTTAAGAAAAGAAAAAGAAGCCAGGTGTGGTGGCACATGTCTGTAATCGCAGCACTCTGGAGGCTGAGGCAGGAGGAGCACAGTGAGTTTGAGGCCAGCCTGGGCTACAAAGTGAGTACAGGCCAACCTGAACTACATAGTGAGACCTTGTCTGAAAAAGAAAGAAAGGAAGTAATAACAAAAGAAAGAAAAAGAAAGAAAGAAAGTCCTTTCCTATGCTGTGTCTTCAAGAGTTTACGTTGGATCCCACGGCAATGTCCCGCACAAGTCCAATTGGAGGCCTAGAGCCTAGGACAATGTCTCATGCAAGTCTGTATCAAGGACCTGCGCTGGGAAGGCCCAAAAGTCATGGGTAGAAGCTAGGAAGTCTGCACCAGCAGGATGAAGGATCTGTGCCAGCAGGCTGAGGATCTGCACTGGAGCCAGGAAGCAACACTCAAAGTAAGGACCAGAGCTCCCCTGAAGAGAACCGCAGCCATCCTCAGCAAAAGCGAGGTCCCAAGCTCCTCCAGTGACGAGAACAGCCAAGTTCATATCAGGAAAGCCAGCGTGACAAGCTTCTCCAGGAGAACGAACAGCGCACCACCTTTCCCTCCTGTTCTCTTTTTACCCTGTTGGCAGCAATCCTCAGGTGGGCCTCCCACACCCAGCACCAGGCTGATTCCGTTCAGCTGGGTGTTACAAATTAGCTAATTTGCTACACCCATTAGCTAATCCACCACAGCAGCATATGTTATAAATACACCCATGTTTTTGATACTCTGTAAAGTACGGTTTTGTTTGGGGTAGTGGGGTTTGAATGCAGGGCTTTTGTGCTGAGTTATACCCCCACCTTTTAATTTTGTTTTTCATTTTGAGGTAGGGTCTCTAAATCTGAAAGTTGCTGGCTGGGTTTGAATTTGGGATCCTCCTGCCCTACCCTCTTGGAGTGTGGGGATTACAGGCATGTGCTCCTATATAGTGTTTTAATAATTGTGGGTTTTTTGTGTTTTGTTTTTTTTTTTGAGACAGGGTCATACTTATATAGTTCTTTTTTTTTTTTTGCGGTACTGGGGATTGAACTCACGACCTTGCGCTTGCCAAGCAGGCGCTTATGCCACTGAGCTATATACCCAGCTGCCTTGTTCTATTTTTTTTTTTTTTTTTTTCTTCATACCTATGTAGTTCAGGTTGGCTTTGAGCTACATGACCCAGGGTGGCCTTGAACTTATGGAGATCCTCTTACCTCAGCCTCCTGAGTGTTGTAGTATCAGGTGTGCCACCACACTTGGCATAATTGTGCATATTTAAATATAGTAAAAGCATTCCAAATTAAGTTCTTTATAGAAACTTCTAATCATTTCTGGAATGTGCAGCAAACGAGAGCTTTTCTCAGGTAAAAATTGATTTTTGCAGGAGTCTCTACTTCTGTGTGGCCCTATTTCTCCCCACTGTGAGTGGGAACAGGATTGGAAGGGGCACTAGGTCCTTGTGCTTTGCTGATGGGGGTGGGCTGAGGAATCATGGAGAGGAGAGATCACCCTCTTGATTTTATTTATTATTATTTTGCTTTTGGTTTTTGTTTCTGTTTTTTGTCTTTTTGAGACAGGGTCTCGCTATGCAGTTCAGGCTGGCCTTGAGCTCACTGTGTAGCCCAGGCTGGTCTTGAACTGGCAACAATCCTCCTGCCTCAGCCTCCCGAGTGCTGGGATTACAGGCGTGCGCCACCACACCTGGCCAAATTTTGCTTTTGGTTTTGGTTTTTTGAGGCAGGGTCTCACTATGTAGTTCAGGCTGGCCTTGAACTTACTATGTAGCCTACACTACCCATGGCGATCTTCCTGCTGGGATTACAGGCGTGCACCACCACACCCAGCTCACCCTCTGGATCTTAGGACTTCCAAACTCAGCAGCTCCTTCCCCCAGCCCCGCCTCCAGCCTGGCACAGGGCAGTCAGCGGGCCCCGCCCAGTGCCTGGCATCCTGGTGTCCGTTCTCTTCCTTACTTCCCAGCATAACGCTGCAGTAGGATCCAACTCTTCCCATGGCTACTGAGTAACTCAAGGATGAACCCTTCCTTGGAAATCTGGCAAGAAATCTAGCACAAAAACAAAGAGTCTCCGCCTCCCCTGGGTTTCCAGTTTATTAGGCGATGATAATGTCTTCATTAAGGTGAGATAAAGTTTATCAAAATAAATCCTGCATGATTATTCGGCAGCTTTTAGTTGAGACTCAGAAAGTGTCACACTGGAATTTGCCCTAATCCTTACAACAGTTAGAAAGTTCAGTTTGGTTTCAGGGAAATCAAAACAGCAAATATTTATTGAACATGTCCAGTGCACACAGCTCTGGGCCTTGAATGTCCCAGGCACTCAATAAACATTTGTGTTTGAAGAAATTCGGCCCCAGAGAAGCTCACTACTGACAGGCAGGGTCTTCCCTCCCACCCTCCTTCTCTTCCTTCTGCCCACCCCAGGAAGGGCAGGTGTCTCTGGCAGGTGGAGCTTAGCTACTGTGCAGGAGTGGGTTTGATTTAGAACATGTTGTCCCCTGTGGGAGACCCTTCAGGAGCCACCCTGTGACGACAGTGCGGGGTGCGCGGGGTCATTCTCTGCCCATCGCCGCCTGCTTTCCCGGAATCGTCCAGTTTGCTGCACGCCCCGCCTTCTCACCCTCCTTTCCCTTCCGCAGTACTTAGAATTGAACTCAGGGCCTTCACGCTGAGCTACATCCTCAGCCCTTTTCTATTTTGAGACAGGGCCTCCCATGGAGTCACTGGGTTGCCCAGGCTGGGCTTTAACTTGTGATCCGCCTGCCTCAGCCTCCCAGAGTGCTGGGGTTACCCACATGTGCCACCACTCCCAGCTACATTCCACTCTATCCCAGAACTGCAGTGACTCTCTCCCCAACATTCCCTCCTTGCCCCCAGGATCTCCCAGGCTGGCCTCAAATTCACCATCGTCCTGAGTGTGGAGATTATAGGCATTTGCCACCACACCCACATGCAGCAGCTTGCCCTCTTAATTCACAGCTTCGTTTACCTTTCTCCTCTTTGTTTTTGGTTTTTGAGACAGGGTCTCTCTGTAGCTCAGGCTGGCCTTGAACTATATAGCCCAGACTTGCCCCAAACTTCATTCAGTTCTCCTGCCTCAGTCTCCCAAGCGTGCGACACCATGCCTGGCTACCTTTTTCCTCTCACTGTGAAGTTCAGTTACCTGCTTGTCCCCTCAAGTTGTTCTCGCTGAGCCCTGCCAATACTGCTGTGTCACTATTTTTTTGAGACAAGGTCCCGTTATGTGGCCAGAGTTGGTTCTGAACTCCTGGGCTCAAGTGACCCTCTCACCTCAGGCTCCCAAGGGCCGGGACTGGAGCGTGCCACATGCTTGAATAGGACATATTGCAAATGTCTCCCAGGTGGGAAGTT